CTGATATATACATCAGGCTTCAATTGATACTTTTGTCAGTTATGCTTTCTGACTTGTGACTTTAATATCCAGAAACCTAGATATTGATGATTGTCTCAAATACAAATGTAAGTTTTGGCACGATATGATGTTAGATCCTGTTTTCTTGCCAAAATACAGATACTTTTTCTAGAATGATTTCAAAAATGTTACGAGTACACATATTATATTTCCAAAAATATTAGAGTATGATTTAGATATAAATTTCATAACGTAGGTAAATTAATATGTTGAATTATTCACGGACTGTTCTCTACATTAAAATACTTTTCTTCTATGTCCGAGCTTTCGGTCCTCTTATTGGTAAGTTCCGGTAAGAGGGATGAAAGATCGCAAATAAAAGTATCTTAAAGTAGAGTACAATCTCTGTATAATTCTACACACATAGATATAGATCTTGTTAATAGGTGAATGTTTTGATTAATGAACAAACAGTGCTTTAATAAATCTTTTAAAAGTTTGTAAATCTTTTTAACAGATTTCATTCGCCAAGAGGAGCTGATATAATTAATAAAGTGAGCTGGTTGCCTGTGATGTATATGGTACTGACTGATCAAGCTTCTTTCTTGAAAAGACTAAATCTTTTATAAAGTGTCGTCACTCGTTCATTGGAAAAGATAATATAACGATTTATTTGAAAATAATTATGGTACCAATACTATTCTCCTGGAAACTACTTGGTGTGAGATGTATGAATTTCTATTTCAAATTCCTCTTGGTCCTTGTACGTCAGCAGAATTCGAGCAACAATATATGTGAACTTAATTTTCTTACATTTGCGCTTTTGTAAACAGGTTTGTATTCAAGCTGTTTGTAGTGAAGCTTTATTGGAGAATATGACTGGTAATTGATTATTAACTTACTGTAACGTGTTTTCTTCCATAAGGAGTTAAATATAAATGACATATATTTCAAAGTTATATATCTGCACAGACCACGTTTCTAATAAGAACGAAACGGAATTTCTGAGAGTTACCAAAAGACGAGCCATAAACGCTACTGTAGAGTTAGGGCAGCATCTATAAACTTTAGCAATATCGCCCATGTTTTTGTTGATGAGAATACTTTGTACAGAAAGATGAACATAAAACTGAGATTGTACTCGGTACGAGGCTGAAGGAGTCATTTTTCATTTAAACAAACTTTTCTTCTGTTAGATGTAAGTAAGGTCATGTACATACATTTTAGAATAATGAACTTTCTAAGAATTTCTGGAATATATCCTCCCATTTCTAAACATTGAAAATATTATACAGTTTGATCTCATATATAACAAAGAGTATAAAGGTATATAATATTCTCTGCTGTTATTATTAATGAATATCCGTCTTTATGCCATGCTGTGAGCCATAATGCTACATTTGGATCTATACTTAATTTTTGTATGTATCTGTGTATTATAAATAAAATTGTTTCTGAAATCAGAACCATAACTGTTTCACCTTTATACTATAATGAATAAGTTGTGTTGCACAATATAAAGAAACATACACCAACAATCATCCTATGGTGTAAAACATTAAAACATTAATAAAAAATTGAAATAACTTCACACGTGGAGATATTGACTTCCAGTTACAAATTGTAGTATTGACTAACGCTCGATAAAATACAGTATTTTTATAAGACCGTTTTGAGTTCATTTTTATTCTACAAATGCCAGTTGTTTTCCTATTAATTTAACGTCCAAGGAATGAACACTTTTTCTTATAGATTTAATAGATTTAACCTGGTTATATAGATTTCAATGACAACATTTCTCAAAATGAAGGGCTTCGTTCAGTGACTTGAATAAAACTATCTATATAGCTTCATTATAAGAAAAACCTTTATTCATTGGTTTAAATGGAAAAAAATAAGATCAATGATAGAAGAAACTGAATCCACTTTCTCTAACGCTTAAAAGAGTGAGAAACATCTGGGGTGTATCTATCAACGGAAATACGTCATTAATCATAATAGTCTAAGTACACTGTCTCGTAACCATAACACACCCTTAATTTCCGTTTTGCGCTCCTATAACGTGTTTGAAAAGTTTTCTAACAGGGATACATCTTTCTCCTTTCCGTCAGAAACTGCTTCTGTGCCGTGTTAGATGGGCTAGAACGCGATACTTGTGCCAAAAGGAACCGGTAATCGGTTAATCACTCCAAAACTTCCGCCTAAACTCTCTCAAGGGCGGTGGCTAGCACGAAATATTCATTTAAAGTCTTGTTGAACGGTATATTGGTAAACGCCCTATTTTAAAGAAAATACAATTGCTGTGTTTCTATTTTTTATATAAGACACTTTATTTCTTTTTAATACATAGTTTTGACGGTCATAGAACAATTAGTTATATATATGAGACAGTCGTATAGAGCATTTTAATACTTACAACCTTTTCATTTGACGGTCATAGAACAATTAGTTATATATATGAGACAGTCATATAGAGCATTTTTATACTTACAACCTTTTCATTTGACGGTCATAGAACAATTAGTTATATATATGAGACAGTCATATAGAGCATTTTAATACTTACAGCCTTTTCATTTAAAAACATACAAGTCTTGCTCTTAAGATGATTATGCGTCGTTTTCTTAAGACATTTTGCTAATACTGATAGTAAACGGATTATCTATGGCGTGTCCAACAAAATCTGAAGAAGTATTTATCTTAGATCTTAGCTTTCATCCCTTATTAGGAATGATAAGAACTTCATAAACTATGGGCAGAAAAAAGTGCTTGTAATATGAGCTTGAAGTGACTTCTATTGTCTTGTACAAAATACAGCTAAATTTATCGTAATACCTTGCTATTTTCACATTTGCTTGATCTAATTTGGTTGTTATCCAGCACATAGCTACACAATAGGCTATCTGTGCTGTGCCCACCACGAGTATTGAAACCCAGTTATAATCTTCAGACTTACCATTAAGCCCCTAGACGGCTTTCACATTTCCACAAGGATTGTTTTTCAAGGTATGCTGTTATGTTGGTACACAAAGTAGCACCACAGTTGACAAAAGCAAAAAAATAAGTCAGCTTCTTTAACGTACAACCAAACAAAAAATATCTATACTACTACGAAACACAATAACACATACAACAATATAGTTCAATTTGAGGTCAGGAAAACATAGATGGAAAAGCTAAAGTGGCTCCTTTTCTTAGAATTGATTAGTTCAACACTTGCAAACTAAAACACATCTAATAAAATAAAGATGCAATTAGCACTGAGTTACAGCGGCTACTATCTGTAGTATAATAAACTGACTGATCACGTCATCATGATTCGGACATGAAATCGGATTGGAACATATTTTGACACAAAGTAGTACGGCCGAGGCGTGATATAAACTCCACATGTTGCTTCTAAAGTTGTATCGTTTGAATGTATACCATTCTTTGAAGAGAATGACCGGCAATTGTTTCAGCTACATTTGCAAAGAATTAAAATTGTGAATCCGTGCGGCGATTGTACTGGGCGAGAAAGAACAAATCTGAGCGCGGTTAGCTCTAACGTTATCGTCTTGGCAGAGTTATCGTCTATCAGAGTGGATAACCAGCACAGTTCAGTTATACTCTTGATGTTATTTGACCTTGTAAAGAATAGAGAGAACAAACTCACTACCCCAAGCATATGCAATAACTTATGCTGATGAAACAACACTAACAAAGTCCAGTTTCTCACGCAGTTTATCTATATTATGTATGATTCTACGATTAATACAAAACAGGGTAAAAAGCGACTCAGCAGACAACATCTCACGCTTCCAGTCGTTCATTACGTTCAGTTTGCGCTCTAACTATATCTCTAAGACCATGATTATTTTTTTTTTATATTTTGAAATAAAGAGAAGTGGGCTGCCTAGTATGATAATTCTTCATAATGTCCTTTGCATGGTACGGCTGGAGATACTTGAACCTTAATATTGTTGAAGGAACCTGTCAACTGGGGTAAAGTCTATCATTCATTGTACTTTACAAGCCTGTTTAATCGTTTTTGTATTGGTCTGTTACAAGCAGTTGGCGACCAGAGATATTTCTAATGGTTGGCATTGGTGGATAAATTCTGATGGCAGATATCTATGAACAGTTGCTCAAAGAAGCGGTCTTTGTTAATGAAGTCTCTGCTAGACGGGTGCTCACTATGCTCTCTATTACGGTCATATGAAAGTCGAGTAGAGATATTCAATATTACACGTTGTTTTGACTTGTTATGATTTGATTAAATATCCTTATGTATAGGATTCAAACAATCATCTGACACAGCAAATGATCAGTATATTTTGCATATGCGAATTAATGGAGTATGCTAAAATTCTAGATAGCTGCTAATGAATTGGCTGGTTAGTATACTAACTTGACCAACATACATTAAACTTGTAAACACAGATTAATTATAATCATGGAAAGCCGAAAAGGTTTACTGAATTAAAGAATTATAAAATAAAAATAATTGATCTGTAAGTTCTAAATTTGACAACAATTTTAAGGGTACATCTTTTATGAACGTTATATGTTTTTTAGACAGTAGGAGTGCTTTCTAAAAAAGTAAACTTAAAGAAATTTTGAGCTCATGAAAAAAAGCCATACACCGTGAAAATATAGTAAAAGTCACTTTTTATGACCAAAAAAAGTGCACAAATGTCAAAAAGCGTTAAGAAACCTGCGTATATTTTAAATTTATTTGCAACTAAGCATATACATGTAAATCTATAAAAACAGAAGTTTCACTTCTGCCAACTGGGAGCATTAAACAAGAAATATAGGACAAGAAATATCATCATTATTAATAAAAAAAAGGTTAATTTGGGCTATATATGTAAAATACATTAACATTTCAGGGTGTAACATATTGAATTTTTTTAAAGATGATAGGTTGTTTTAGAGCAAAGCTACATCGAGCTATTTACTAAGTCCACCGCGGGGAATCGAACCCTGGATTTTTACCGTTATATGTCCGTAAATTTACCCCTGTCCTACCGGGGGACATTTTTAAAAATGTAAACGTTTGTAATAGCCATATTTTAAAAAAAGAACAAATTTTAATTTTTAACCAAATATAATAAGCATTCCCCTATCTATATGACTATATAGGGTTGTACATATTTCAAAATGGAATAATGGCTTTTGAATAAAATAAAAAAGACGCATGGGGTAAACAAAGTCAATATTTTCATGGTTTTATACCATCTCCTCATGATCTCATGCAACCTCGGTACATTTCTGAAGGTATCAACGACATTTGTCAAGCACATTCTCAAGCAGGCGTTCAGAAATTATATGTTTGATATGATCACTCAGATAGGCATGTGTAGCTTGATGTGAAGGGTAAACAGAAGAGTTGCTGTGCTCATCAGCTAAATGTCCAGCTGAATATAACGTGCAAAATAGATGTTGCGTCGAGTAGCTGGTAGAACTACGTGTCAATAACACCAACATATTTCAAGTAGGGAAGAAAAAGTTCTCCAGCATGTTCAAATATGTGTCGAGTTATTCTTTTTATCTTGGAATTAAAATGAGTCATGCATATTTCTTTGTAAAACAGCACACCAAGTAATGGCTTTCGTTGAGTTTCGCACGTGATCGGAGCACTGTATACAGTCACGTGCAAATAGTTTACAATGTGATTGATAAGCTGTCATCCAACTTATCAGACAGTAACACACCAGCACATGCATAAAAGTGCAGTTGCTCATACTATTCCCAGTAGTAGTACGGTCAATGTACTTATGGTTCCGAGAACTGAAATGTTACACGACAAATTTGTAGTGCCGGCTACGTCATGTAAACATTGAAAGGAAATTTCATATTTCAGAAGGAGTTATATGGAAACTCTGAAGAAGGTTAGTAAAAATAATATTGTTGATAATATAAGTGTTAGAAGGAAAACCAAAAGTATTCACGTTTACATGAATGATACTTTCAGAACAGTAAGATATATATTAACATGAAATTGCCTACGAAAGCTCAACAAACTAAAAGGCTGAAATGAGAATTGAACTTCTAAAAACAGGATGAGCAAAGGTGGAGTTGGGTGCCCTTACAGGTAAATCCAAATGGCTTCCTTCATCTTAGCCAGTGGTGATGGAGATATACACGAGATTGGTGGCAGGTGCAATCAGATTCGATCCATTATTATGCAATATCGTATTGTACTAATCCAATTTGGTCATTTAGTTGTATTTACTTATTGATATTCATGTACGTGTGCAATGTGCATTTTCATAATCATTTCCAATAGTGTACATGATCTCAACCGCTGAAACGGTATTGATATTTTGATTACCAAACTAAGAAGTATATACATGACCAGGTGGCCTAGAAGTTGGAGCGTTGAATTAAAAGGTTCAAGGTTTGAGACGCGATATACGCCGCTGGACATGCTTCGCACATTCAATTGTGGGTTTGTTATAACTGTGTTAGTCAATCCTATTATTCAACGAAGAGTAGCCGCGTAGGCGCCAGATTCTACTAACTCGTTGCTCTTTTTTCTGGTCAGAGTTCTAAATTAAAAACGGATAGGATACGTTTGAACCTTATAGTCTCTGGCCTTACCGTTTAAACCCACAAGTCTCATGAGGTGATGTTGAAGTTGAAAGTAACAAATAACGGAAAAAAATAGATAGCTTGTACGAACAACTTCTGTTTTTTATTACTTGGTTTCAATTCCACTTCATAGTACAGAAATATAGTATTATAGAGAGAACAGTCCAGTCCTCATGAACCTGAAGGTAAAATCTGAAAGGTAATTATCAATTTAGAAAACTAACTTATTAAATACTTCTTAAAACATATTTTCATCGCAATTTCAAATTTTGTGCTCATTTATACTTGTAACAAAATAAAACAATATGAAAAAGAGATAAAAACGTTTTCTTTCGTCAGCTTTGTCATTTAACGCGTTAAACAGATTATGCAATATTGAGATATGTCTTTAAAAATTATAAATTAGGAACTCTGAGATCTGATGACAAGAATAATATTTATATACAGTAAGTTAAAGAAGACTAAGATATTTAAATCATATAATACTTACAAACGTAGGAATGCTTCTGTATTACGTAGATCTTTAAGAATGACATTTGATAAAAAAAAGACATGATTTGACTTTCTTGCATGAAAATATTATAATATATTTAACATACTGGACCACTGATTCTGGCAACTTCTGGCTGACGAAGAAAGAAAGCCAAGCCTGCCCTCAATACTCTTCCAAAGAAAGACAGCTGGGAGCTTAAGTCATTCGTTGGGGAAGTATAATTTGTTTCAAATAAAAATTTTAAAGTACACTTGTTTAACAACTTAGCTTGTAAGCAAACAACAACAAATGACACGAACTTTAGACACTCACTTTTCTGAATTACTTCCCAGAACTAGAAGTCCTCTAAAACAGATTTCGTAAAAAAGTTCCGAAATAAGGAAGCCATCTCTATAAAGAATAAAGATATTCTGCTCATATTCATTATATTATATTATTATAAAAATAATATATTGAACCGCAAAATTATAAACACTTTGGGTATCCTATGAACAGGTTCAAAGGTCATCACACCCATACAAAACCATATAATAATATTTTAAAACGTTTTATGAGAATCTTAATTTTATACTACTAATGGAGAAAAGTTACCTGAAATAGGTGAGATGATGGAAGTCATCTGGCAGAATAACAATAAACATCAGTGTAACTATTTCACACAGAGAAGAAATTAATCAAGTTCATCTAAAAAAAAAACAACATTAGAAATGTTTCAAATATCAATTACCTATTCAAACCTTTGAACAACTATGTTTTCATAAAATTTGAACATTTCCTGAAGCTATAATCTGAAAACAAACATGGGAATCCCTAAGGAAGCGCATCTAAGGAAATATCAAAGTATCCGCAAAACAATTAACGAATTCGGAGTATTTATTAATTAGGATTACAAAGATTAGTAAAGCTAGAGAAAGACACCCGGAGGCTTGTTTTCCAACTTTTAGTATGCACACAATTTAGAAATCTTCAACTAAATCCGTAAGAAGATACTTAGCATAAAAGCCTCCAAACAATATCAACTTTGTTAACTCTATGAATACGCAAAATATTAATTAGGCTTCTTAATAGCACCTGCCTCAGGGACAGCTACCTACTTTCCTTTAGAACTATATTATCTTGTCACTCTGTCATTATATTGTAAACTCCAAATATCAACAACTCTTTCGTACATTGAAATTATCAAAGTTTTTTTTCATCCAAAGTTAAATAATTCATGCTTCCAAATAATTTTACTAGAATTGACTTTAATAGCTTAGAATCAAACCTATCATAAAGATACCCTTTAAAGTAATAAATATGATTTCAAATGTACTTCTTTATTTTATATTTCGTTCAAAAAGATATTTATGATTCCATTTTATTCCAATATAAACACATTCGTTTACTTAAATGATATATCATAATGTTAAGTAAGATAATATTGGACCATATTTGTTGATTTCCTCAACTTATGATAATTTCAATATATTTTGAAAGGATTTTACAAGATAATATGTTTTCTTATAAGCTGTCACTTGCACAAATATCATAAATGCGGGTGAGAAGGATGTAATTGAAAATATGCAATCATAAGGCACGCCCTGGAAAATGTTTTTTTTTATAAATTTTACAGAGTAAACCTACTTTTTTTTAAATCGAGTTTCAAGTATTGCTTAGTTTGTCATTTGTTACATTAATTTCTTGATCTATACCTTCAGGATTACTCAGAATCAGTATATAACATATATATATAGTTTTAAACTGTTTGCTTGATCAACTGTATGACAATCTGAAATAAGTACATTAAGTCATAATACATAATTTTAATATTATGACATATTATAGAATTTTAATTTGGTGAAGTTTATTTATCTCGTATACTGATTTATAGCCCAGCTAGCTATTTGACTGATTTCTAAATATGTTACTGAAATATACAAAAAAGTTACTGGCAATAGTTCTAAATGTTTAAATTGTCCAGCAGCCATGGACTTTCAACGTGTACTGCAAGATATACCACTATGTAAAATGTACAATGTAATTTATTTATTAACCTGTAGTATATGTGGTCTTAACCAACTAATCCTTTACATATAAGGATTAACCTACATAGATCTCATAGTAACAATAGATCTCATTCTATTGAAATAGATCATTTTAATAAACATTCATTCAGTAATGCAAAAATAACTATTTTGGATAAAGCTTACAATGAAAATCTGTTAACAGAAAAAATAATAATATTTTATTTTAAAAGAAAAACTCTTTATCCACAAGGTTTAAATCAACATTTTCAAAACAAAAATGCTGACGTTTTAAGCAAAAAATATGTTTATTAGAAACCTGTTTCAAATAAATAAGTACAGCGGTAAACAAAATAACTGTTGGAGTAAAGGAAAAACTATAAATAACTGGATTGATTTTGAAAATTTTTGCAGTATTTTATATTTTGCTATCGATAGACAAAAAATCTGATAAAATTTATATTAAAACAGATTTTTGAAATAAAAAATACAAAACTCAGGTATTTGTCAAGATATATGTTACATTTTGAATTTAAACATATGCACATAAAGATTTAATTATATATTTAATTAAATTTAAACTAAAATGGAATCAAATGCCTAAAAACAATCCTTTAATAAAGGAAAAAGAAAATCACATGTAGATATAGATTTTAAGCATAACATATATGACGACTTAGCTCTACCTTCCTTGATCCATGAAAGTGTTCAATAAAATATGTTTCCTATTAAATCAGTGCAGCCTATAGTAAGTTTTAAATGTAATAAAGCTATAGAACTTCTTATTTTCAATTACAAAATTTTATTGAAGATTTTAATCAAATATAACTTGAGAAATTACCTTGTAATTGCAATAACAATGCATTTAAGGATCCTTTTCATAATTATATAGTTATAGGTAAGTTAAAGAAAAAGATTTACAAACAATATTGAAAAAAGGAACTAAATTTAGAATTAGAAAACTAAAAAATGTGAAGTATTGAAAGATCTAGAAAATAATATTGATAATTATATTATCAAAATATGTAAGAAAAACCTACTATCATCCATGTTTCTTTTTTGAATTGAAACTGTTTTTTATGAATTCCACAAAAAATAGTTTAAGAAACTTAAACCTTATTCCATATAAAACTGATACTTCTTTTCATATTTTCAAAAATAAAATAAAGAAGATGCAAGAACAATTTATTATTACCCTTATTGATAAACAGGTTGCAACTTTGGTAAAAAGAACTGTATGCACCCATAATTAATTTCCCATGACTGCTTAACTGGTTTCTCATCTATTTTTTGAATTTTTTCTGATGAGATATCCTCAACGCTTTTGGGAGTTATTACCACAGTCAATGTTCATCATGACCTTTGGATTAGGACTGGAAAGTGCGATTATTTTTTTAAAAGTTTGGGAATTTTTCTTATATATATTGTATATTTGTTTGTTTTTAATTTCGCGCAAAACTAAACGAGGCTATCTGCGCTAACCAACCCTAATTTAGCAGGGAAGGCAGCTAGTCATCACCACCCACCACCAACTCTTGGACTACTCTTTTACCAGCGAATAGTGGGATTAACCGTAACATTATAATGCCCCTACGGCTGAAAGGGCGAGCATGTTTGGTGGGACAGGGATTCGAACCCGCGACCCTCAGATTGCGAGTCGAGCGCCCTAACTGCCTGGCCATGCCGGGTATAATACAACGGTATAGACAACGATATAAAGTAATACATATTTTTATATCTGAAAAACGTTTTCTCTCATACAGTTTACATGATCCTAGTTTCTTCTGATCTTAATTGATCACGTAACCAGATATTTTATTGTTGCTTTTTATTATTTTATTTTTACTCATCATGTCAAACCCTATTTATTGATTATTAATTGATTGATAAGTAGGGCTCTACTTTACAGTAAAAGGTATTTCGATTCTACAAATATGCAGTTTTCTTAGTTGAAACATATTTAGAAGCTTAATAATACATACACTTTCTTAGTTCCATCGCTCAGAATTTTATTTACATTAACAGTTTCGTATGGATAATAAATAAGCTATACCTCGGATATCAACATATGTCTTTGTAAAACATAGTAAAATCTTACGTTTTAACTGAATCAGGTAATATAAGAAAAGCCTAATCCCATAGTTTTTAATGCATTTACTAACAATACGGTCCAATGATCCCATGCCAAGAAACATTGAAAGATGAATGATCTGATGTAATTGCGCATGACATGCCTTCACACTTTTTTGTAGATTCTCTAACCATCACATGTGAGTAGATCGATAAATATATAACTCAAATCCAACGTTAAATTAGTTTTAGTAAGGGAGATGATGAGTAATGCAAATTTAACTGAACATGGCTTTGTAAATGTTTCCCATTATCGACTCTTGTAATATTTCAATTTATCTTGTTAATGCTATATAAGATATACTTTTTTGATATATTACCTACATCATTCATTTAAAGTAAATTAATAAACTAGATATAGCTATTCGAAATCAAGTATTTGTTTGAAGCAAACAATTTTAACATAAGTTTATATATAATACTATTGTTTTGTTTTTGTTTTTTTTGAATTTCGCGCAAAGCTACACGAGGGCTATCTGCGCTAGCCGTCTCTAATTTAGCAG